ACCACCTCTTCTCCACACAAAGCAATGTCTGGAGGAAATAAAAGGAGAGGGACCCAATCTATCAGTGCCTTCCTTTCCTCTCCACCATTTCTTTGGTTGGTGTGGCTACCCCTCTTGTATGTTTCCTGAGTATTGTTCAGGACAACTTTCCTTCCTTCCCTTTGATGCAGTCCCCAGTATTTGGTGAGTACTGGGTACTTGAGGAGATTTGCTTTGGACTAGGATTTGGAGAGAAGAAGAAATGTTTGATGAGCCCAGAGCTTCATCTTTGAGGGACCATGAACTGGTCCCTTCCTTCTCTGAGAAATTCCCATTTATCAAAGGAGGTCATGGTCTCTGATCCATGGGTAAATATTCTATTGAATTATCAGCAAAGGAATAAAAGAAAGGGACAAATATACTAGTGGGTTAAGCCATAGCCATGGCTAGTGTTGTCCAGGCAATTTCTGTGTCAGACATGTGACAGAACCCCAACAAGGCCTATAGCCCTAACACAAATGTAGAATTAAGCGTGTGGGTATGTGTGTATGCTCCTGTCAATTTTAGCATCCATCTGTTTCTGCCTAGATTCTCTTCTTCACTGTATAGTCTGACTGATAATGATAAGAAGGATGACATAAAACATAATCTGGTAACAAGTCATAACACTTCATGCAAGCTTACTATGCGCCAGGCACTGCAATAAAGACTGGTTTTGGGGCAAGTCTTATTTTATCATACAAAATAACTGTATGAAATAGCGTTGTTATGTTCTTTTCACAAATGAGGAACTTGAGGCTCAGATAGTTCAAATATCTTGTTCCCATTCATAGTTAGTAAATTCTGAAACCAAGATTAATGTGCCTACCTTTTTGACTTAAGAAAATACACTGTGAACCAAGATATTATCCAGATACACTATGGGCATCTGTGTATGTGTGCACATACTTACTATAACATGATGATCACATCTAATAAAATCAACAATAATTCTTTATATTACATTACATCTATTTTTAATTTAAATTTCTTCAATTATTCATTCATTGTCTTTTATGCCAGGTTTGTTGAACAGAATTCAATCTGCACTGTGTTTGTTTGTTACATCTCTTAAATTTATTTAAATCTGGAAAGGTATGTCCTTTACCTAATACCATACCTCCTATTTTCTTTTTAATGATATTGACTTGTTCAAATAACCATTTCTTTGGTTGGTGTGTCTAGACCTCTGATTGACTTGTCTACCACCAATTGACTTGTAGATATGCCTTGCGTGGTGGATTTGTCTAATTGTATAGTGACAAATCTGACCATTTCTTTTATACATGCAGGCTCATGTGTGTATATTTGAATTCTTTTAGGTATCTTTATAAACATCTGTTGTATCTGTGTGCAAGAAAACATGAATTTGAGAGAAGACCTCCCCCACATACGTGTGAATAAAGAATGACCTCCCACAAGCTAAAAAACTGATTCAAAGTATATGGTTTCAGAATGCTGAATGCTATGTATTGTTGAATGTGTGAGTAGTGCATGAGACTAGTTTTCAAATGAAGGCTGAACAGCCCCATAAGGTCTCCAATGCTGGTAAGAAATTAGTTCCTGGTCCCCTTAGGGTAAGAGCACTGAGAAGAAGCTACATGAACATGGAAAGACAAATACTCAGCAGATGTGGAAGTTGGGCTGTGGAAGTTCAGACTGTGTCTGAGCTGTGCCCCCTATGATCCGGAACATGTGAAATGTGGAGACCCTGTACAAAAAGTGGGTGCTTTTAGTTATAGATGCGGGAAAGCTCCAGAAAAAAAGAAAATCCTGTTTAATTTTTGCCATATGCAGAAGGGAGGAGAAACTAAACCGTGGTCTGTGTGATAGAAGGTAGTGTGAGCTGGACTTAATTGAGAATAAAAGGAGAATATAGGAGAGGGGATAAGGTTGACTGTATTTCTGGCCTTGTGAAGCTAAGAGTCTGAGGTATGGAACCATCATATATGTCATCTTAGTGCTGATACTGGGAATCCCATGCCTCACTATATAGTTATCTGTACAATATTGATATCTTTCTATGTAAGCACAGTAGAGATATTACTAGAGAAGAGAGTAAATGTAGGGCCTTGTATTTAAAGGAGAGATTCCTTTCAATCTCCTTTAAGGAGAAAGTTATTTTGAGACTTCACAAAGCATGTGGCAGTGCCCAATCCAGTTATGAACTCTTCCTATCCTCCTTGTGGTCTCTGTCCTCTGCACCCACACAAGCATGTGTGTGTGTGTGTGTGTGTGTGTGTGTAAGTGTGTGCATGCCTCAGACAGATAGGAAGAGAGAGAGAGAGTGGCAGGGGGACTTCATGTTTGTGTAAAATTATATGTGTGCAGAATGCATGACAGAATGTTAGTGTCAATCATGACATGTCTAAGATTATAGTTTTAAGTGTGTTGACATCTGAAAGTTTCTGTATCTTAAGTTCTATGTTGCTATCAAAGAGAATATATGTTCATAAAGGAATGATGCTATTTTTAGATGAAAATTTTGACTGATCATGTAACTATATTTAAGGTACTAGCATATTATAAGCCTATAATCTTTAGTGATGGAAATGATTTCTTTGGAGGAGCAAGAGCATATGAGTCTCAGCTGTAGATTGTTATATCATGTTTGAGTTACAAGTGACACCTAGCATACTGTAGGGATCCAGTTAGAGTTTGTTTCATGTAATTAGGTTTTAGAATGCCAGTAAAGGTGTGTGGAGCTCACAAATCTAAGAGCCACTGTTACAGGTAACCTAGAATGTAATAAGTACTTGTGAGTTGGGCTTAAAAATGGGGCAGAGATGGATATTCCACAATGACAAAGCCAGTCTTATCCAACAATGATCATAAAAGCATAAATACTATAATGTGTCAACGCATAGCAGCTCTGATAGCATAGTGCCTAAGGCACTTGACTGCTAACCAGAAGGCTGGTGGTTCAAACCCACCTGCCACTCCTCGGAGGGAAGATGGGGCAATCTACTTCCTTAGTGATACTGCCTTGGCAACCCAAGGAGGGGTGGCTATGAGTTGGGTCTGACTCAACGGCACATAACAACAACAACATCAACCCGTGGAAAAGTGTCATATATTTTGTTAATTTGTATCCAGGGAGAGTTTATAATGAAAAAAGGTGACTGTTACCAGTGCGGAAAGCTTCCAGGAGAAGCTGTGTAAGCTGTGGGTTTGGCCACACTAAAGAAAAGATTCTCTTTAGGTGGAATGAATCCTGGTTTATGCCTGTTACCTGCCATCATTATTAATCTGAACATTTTTTCATTCACAAGTGTCTCCCATTTTCAATGATAATTATGTGGTTACCTTATCCTTTATTATTATTATTATTGTGATTTGGGTGAAGATTTACAGAGCAAATTCACTTTCCATACAGCAGTTCACATACACTTTGTCTCATAACATTGACCACAGTTTACCACAAGGCAACAGCTCCACTCCCACTTCCTCCCCATAGTTACCTCTTCCCAGTGACCATCCCTCCATGGACTCCTGCCCCCTGAGCTGTCTCTCTGTGCATAAACAGCCCTTCTTTCTCCCATGACTGTTCTCTCCAAGGAGTGCATCTGCTTGAGGTAAATGTTCAACTCATATTCCTGACTTTTGTTTGGCTGGAACCCACAGGTGTGTGGTCAATTCCAGACCTGAAGGGCAGCTAGGGGCCATAGTCTCAGTGGTTCCACCAGGCTCTATTGGACCAACAAACCAGGTCCCCCTGTTTTTTTTTTTCCCCCAAATGATTTTGAGTTTTGTTCCACATTGTTCTCCCTCTCTATCAAGGATCTCCTACATAGATCTCCTTCCAAGTGGATGACAGTGGTAGCCGGGCACCATCTAGTTCTTCTGGTGTCATAGTTGTATAGGCTGCAGATTGGATGGTGTACCAGTTGCTAGGACTAACTGTTTCCATGAATTTTGGTTTTCTTCATTCTTCTTTGCTCTGGATGAGGAAGAGACACATCATTGCATCTAGATGGCAGCTTGCTAGCTTTTAAGATCCCAGTCGCTACTCGCCAAAGTAGGAGGTGGAACAATGTTTTATAAAGTATGTTATGCCAATTGAGCTTGATGTCCCCTGCGACTATGGTCCCAAGCCCGCAGGTTCAACTACTCAGTCTCTCTGTGTAGCTGGCTGTGACCAAGCAGTGACCACAAACTTGCCCCTTGTCAGCTCTACTATACACCTGGGAATTCTGATCATTCACATAAACTTACAGGACCATTGTCTGCCAACCCTATATATGTTCTTGGATACACTCCCCATTTCATAGACATACCTAATCGTTCAGCCTGTCCACCCATCTATCCACCCATATACCCATGTTTGCCTTGACTGACAACGCAGTACTGTATGTGCAAAAGGGTTCGTATTTGTTGTCTGTACCTCACATGCACCTCTCTATGTCTTTCTCATCCTCAATGCTGCCATATTGGCCACTCACATTTGGTATATTGCCCTTCTCTTCACCCAAATCAATACTTATCTCTATCTATCTAACAGTGTTCCCTCCCCTCCCCTCCCTTCCCACCCCTGGTAACCAACAAAGAAAATTTCCTTCTATAGATAAACCTTTCCTTAACTTTTACAATAACGGACTAATACAATATTTGTCCTTTTGTGATTGACTTATTTCACTCAGCATTATGTCCTCCAAGTTCATCCATGTTATGCGGTGTTTTGCAGATTCTACATTATTCTTTAGCATTGCATAGTATTCCATTGTGTATATGTACCATAGTTTGGTTATCCATTCCTCAGTTGATGGACATCTAGGTTGTTTCCATCTTTTGGCTATTGTAAATAGTGCTGTGATGAATATGGGTGTGCATATGTCTGTTCTTGTTATGGTTCTTACTTCTTTAGGGATGGTTACCTTATCTTGGAGGGTTAATAATGATGGATTATTCAAAGCGAGCATGACTCAAGTGACCCTAATTATTCTTTATAATCCTCTTTCCTCAGGACTTTGGATTTGTGCCATCCCAGTGTGCAATGGTCATTTTCAACCTGAGCAGTTATAACCCAGGACCCTTCATCCTAGTGGGCATCCCAGGCCTGGAGAAATTCCATATGTGGATTGGGATTCCTTTCTGTGCCATCTACTTTGTGGCTGTGGCTGGAAACTGCATCCTTCTCTACCTCATTGCAGTGGAGCGCAGCCTTCATGAACCTATGTTCTTCTTTCTCTCCATGCTAGCCATGACTGACTTAATCTTGTCCACAGCTGCTGTGCCTAAAGCACTCAGTATCTTTTGGCTTGGGGCTCATGAAATTACCTTCCCAGGATGCCTTACACAAATGTTCTTCCATCACTACAGCTTTGTCCTGGATTCAGCCATCTTGATGGCCATGGCGTTTGACCGCTATGTGGCCATCTGCTCCCCCTTGAGGTACACCACCATCTTGACCTCAAAGACCATCTTGAAAATTGTTGTAGGCATCTCTTTCAGAAGCTTCTGCATCATTTTGCCAGTTGTGTTCTTGCTAACACGCCTACCTTTCTGCCAGACACGCATCCTTCCCCACACATACTGTAAGCATATAGGTGTTGCTCGGCTTGCCTGTGCTGATATCTCCATCAACATCTGGTATGGCTTTTGTGTTCCTATCATGACAGTCATCTCAGATGTAATTCTAATTGGCGTCTCCTACACCCTCATCCTCTGTGCTGTCTTTCGTCTCCCCTCTCGAGATGCCCGCCAGAAGGCCCTTGGCACTTGTGGTTCTCATGTCTGTGTCATCCTCATGTTTTATACACCTGCCTTCTTCTCCATCCTTGCCCATCGCTTTGGACACAATGTCTCCCGCACATTCCACATCACGTTTGCCAATCTCTACATTGTTATTCCACCTGCCCTCAATCCTATTGTTTATGGGGTAAAGACCAAGCAGATCAGAGATAAGGTCATACTCCTCTTTTCTACCAAGGCTACAGAATGATGGTCTACTGGACAACAGAAAGGGTAGTGTAACTTCATTGTGTATATAAATATAGAAAGAATAGAGAAGCAAATGGTATCCAAACATGGATTGATTATAGGTGTTTTTGAATACCAGGAATGGTTACTGTGCTCAGCTACTAATGGAAAGTGCAGAGGTTTGAATTCACTGACAGGTGCCTGGGAGGAAAGGCCTGTTTATCTATTTTTTAAGAAATCTTCCATTGAAAACCATATGGAACATAGTTCTACTCTGACACACATAGGATTGCCATGGGCAATTGGTTTATTGGTTATATGAAAGACAGAATTCTCTCTATAAAAATTTCCTCAAAAACATATTTGCTTGTGGAATATGGGAATACACACAATATCATCAGGAAGAAGGAGATAAAAACAGAGAGCTAAATCACTCTAATTGGAAAAAAAAATAGGAATTTATAAGTTGGAGATTTGTCCCTATGATGAAAGAAAATATGTCATAGGTGAGACAGGGAAACTAAAAGGACAGAGACCAGTGAGAAATATCTTATTAAGGGACTAGGAAAGGATATTTAGTACATTGATGATAATATTAATGTCTAATTATTGTTTATTTTATGCTTTACTATAATTCACTCTGGAAGTTCCACTTCCAGAAAAATCTTTCAACATCTGTTTTAAATAACAAGTTCTGTTTACAGTGGTATAATGGAAATGTACAAGTAGGATACTCATATATGCTAAAATTCTTAAAGGGAGTCTTCATGGCACAATGGATAAGTGCTCAGCTGCTAACTGAAAAGTGGGTGGTTCAAATCCATTAGCTACTCTGAAAGAGGTAAGACCTGAATATTTGCTCCTGTGAAGGGTATATATAGCCTAGGAAATCCTAAGGGGGGTTCTACTCTGTCATGTAGGGTCTCTATGAATTGGAATCAACTTGAGTGTACACAGTGACAACAACTTGGTCCTTAAGCCAGTGCTGGGAGAGGACATCAGTTGCTAGGCTCCAGACCTAGCACTGGGGAAGGAAGCTACGGAAGTGGTACCCAGAACATAATCCCTGAAAAATAGTCAGAGATCTTGGCAAAGGCCCAAACTTTCCAAAGTACATAACATCAGTATGATTAAGCCCCAAGTAAATTCATTTGTATACTAAAGAAAAGTTTACCCCAATGGCCAGTGATCTTGTGCAAATAAAGACTATATCTCCTTGGCTGGAAAACAAAATCAAGTTTAAGACACATTTGGGCAGTAGGCATTGAGAGAGGGAGGAGGGAAATGCTATGACAAATGTATCCCAATTACCCTCAAAACTAACAGCTTAAAACAACAACAAACATTTATTTTTACACTCAGTTTCTCTGAGTCTAGAATTAGGGAATCCCTTTGGCTGGGTAGTTCTGGCTAGGGTCTCTTATGAAGTGGCAGTCAAGAAGTGACTAGGATCACAGACAACTGAAGACTTGGCTGGGCCTGAAGTATCTGCTTCCAAGATGGTCACTCACATAGTGTTGTTTGTTAGCAAATAGTGTTGTTGTTCGTTAGTTGGGGAGGTTTCAGTTCCTCCCCAGACAGTCCTTTCCAGAGGCTGTTTGAATATTCTCACAACACTTTGGCCAGACTCGTCCAGACTGGACAATCCAAAAGAAAGGAGGAAACGCCAATTCTTTTCATTCTCAAAAGTCACACATTGTCATATTCACCATATTCCATACATTAGAAATGAGTCACTAAGTCATACCCCCACTCAAGAGGCAAGAAATTAAGCCACACTTCTTAAAAGGAGTGGAATAAATAATGTTTTAAAATCACTACATGTTTATTTATATTCATAATCACTTGAATTATCTGTCTTTATGGTATATTTTTATTTAATCTTGGGAGCGCTAACATATATGAGATTATCCATATTAACCCTTTCATGACCTGTGGGACATGTAGCACCCACCTACACTTTCCACCTCTGAGATTTATTGAGCAG